ACTCGAGTTGCAAAGACAGAAGGTTCAAGATTTGACAGTAGCGATAGCTACTGCCGAGTGTCTTAATGATTATAACGATCATCCTGGAAAGCGCAAGACGCCTTCTGTGAGTGGAGCTAACACCCAACAGGTTAGTGGGAACAAGTTGGCTCGAGGGGAGAAGACATCGAGTTGGGAGCAAATAGAAGAGTCCCTGGAAGGGACCCAACTCAAAATAAAGTCCCTACTGGTCCTGGATCGAGCAATGGAGGGAATAGACCCTCGTTAAGGTGTTTTCTTTGCAATGGACCCCATCGGGTTGCAGAGTGTCCACAACGAAGTGCTTTTAATGCCATGGTTGCAACAACAAAGGACGGAGAAAGAGTGAACGCTCCGATGGGAGATACTGAGCCTGAGCCGGCTAGAGGGCTCCATCCGATTCATAACTGCATTACAGTCTCAGTTGAGTAACTTGAGGAAAGAACCAGAGAGGGGATTGATGTATGTGGACATCTCAGTAAATGGGAAAACCTCTAAAGCTCTAGTCGACACAGGGGCCACAGATACGTTTATCTCTCCTGAGGAAGCGGAGAGTTGTAAGTTGATTGTCACCAAGGAGGTGGGACAAATGAAAGCAGTTAACTCTGCCGCTTCAATGATATGTGGAGGTGTGAAGAGGGTCAGTATCAAGCTTGGGTCTTGGGAAGGAAGTGTAGATTTTACTGTTTCCCGTATGGATGATTTTGACGTGGTATTAGGGCTCGATTTTATGATGGCAGCCCAGGTGATTCCTGTTCCGGCATCAAGTTGTTTAATGTTCATGGGGGAGCAGCCATGTGTGGTACCAGCTACGATTCTCCCTCGTCCTGGGAAGAAGATATTGACCGCTATCCAATTAAGAGAGGGGTGAAAAAGGGGGAGCCCTCCTTCTTAGTCTTTCCAATTTCCAAAGAGGATGACAATCTTGGCACGGTGCCCAAGAATGTTCAAGAAGTGCTGAGAGACTTTGAGGATGTAATGCCGGGTGAATTGCCGAAAGAGTTGCCCCCTAGACGGTTGGTGGACCATGAGATTGAATTAATTCCGGGAGTAAAACCTCCTGCGAAATGCCCATATCGGATGAGTCCTCTGGAGTTGGCAGAGTTGAGGAAACAATTGGATGAGTTGCTCCAAGCATGATTTATTCGACCCTCGAAGTCACCTTTCGGGGCGCCTGTGTTATTCCAGAGAAAACATGATGGGAGTTTGAGATTATGTGTTGATTATAGAGCATTAAACAAAGTGACTGTCAGGAATAAATATCCCATTCCGTTGATTGCCGATTTGTTCGACCAGCTGAGTAATGCTAAGTATTTCACGAAGTTGGATCTCAGGTCGGATACCATCAAGTGAGAGTGGCCGAAGGGGATGAGCCAAAGACGACATGTGTAACTCGGTATGGAGCATTTGAATTTCTTGTTATGCCTTTTGGACTAACCAATGCTCCCGCTACTTTCTGCACTTTTATGAACCAGGTGTTCCATGACTATCTCGATAAATTGTAGTCATCTACTTGGACGATATAATGATTTTTAGCAATTCTATAGAAGAGCACTTGGAGCATCTTCGGTTGGTGCTGACGAGATTATGGGAAAATCGATTGTTTATGAAGAAGGAAAAATGTGCTTTCGCCCAAACGCAAGTCCAATTTTTGGGCCACATCATTGAACGAGGGCGCATTCGTATGGATAAAGAGAAGGTGAAGGCTATCCAGGAGTGGCCGACCCCACAAAATGTTAGTGAGCTTAGATCTTTCCTTGGTTTGGCCAATTATTATAGACGATTCGTAGAAGGTTATTCTCGTAGAGTAAAGTTACTCACTGATTTGCTAAAGAAAGGCTGTGAGTGGGTTTGGTCCAAGGACTGTCAAGAGGCCTTTGATGATTTAAAGAAGGTTGTAATCAGTGAACCAGTGCTTACCTTGCCAGACCTGGAAAAACCTCTAGAAGTAGAGACAGACGCATCTGACTATGCAATTGGAGGCGTACTCTTACAGGACAAACATCCCGTGGCGTTTGAGAGTAGGAAGCTAAATGAAACTGAAGCGAGATATACGGCTCCAGAGAAAGAACTTCTCGCAGTAATTCATTGCTTGAGGATTTGGAGGCATTATTTGTTGGGTTCCAAATTTGTGGTAAAGACCGATAATACAGCAGTTAGCCACTTCCTTACACAACCGAAACTGACAGCAAAGCAAGCTAGATGGCAAGAGTTTCTGGCCGAGTTTGACTTCAACTTTGAGCATAAGGCGGGGAAAAAGAATCAGGTTGCTGACGCTTTGAGTCGCAGGGCAGATTTGGCAGCACTCCGATGTGTGGCCCCTATATCCGCTAGTAGAGTGTCCAATGAAATTCGTCAGCTCCTTGTGAACTTTTCCAAGCAAGATCCGCAAGTGGAGGCCCTTATGGAGATGGTTAAAAAGGGTGTTTCGAAATGTTTTTGGATAGAAAATGGCTTATTGATGACAAAGGGGCCACGAATGTTTGTTCCTCGAGCTGGAAATCTACGACAAAAGCTGTTGAAGGAATGTCATGATACCCCATGGGTCGGGCATCCTGGTTGGAGGCGTACTGTTGCTTTGTTGGACAAGGGTATTATTGGCCTCAAATGCGCCAAGATGTGATGGATTATACCAAGACATGTCTTATCTGTCAACAAGATAAGGTAGATCGACAAAGGACTGCTGGGTTGCTCGAGCCACTACCCGTACCTGCCCGACCTTGGGAGAGTATCTCCTTGGATTTTATATCACGCTTGCCTCGAGTAGGAGATCTTGGATCAATTTTGGTGGTAATGGACAGGTTCTCGAAGTACGCCACTTTTATACCAGCATCAAAGTATTGTTCGGCGGAAGAGACTGCTAAGTTGGTGTTCAAACATGTGGTGAAATATTGGGGCATTCCTCAAAGCATAGTCAGTGACCGAGATGGAAGATTTATTGGGAAATTTTGGAAAGGATTGTTCCAGTTATTGGGGACACAACTCAACTTTTCGTCGAGTTACCACCCTCAAACAGATGGTCAGACTGAGCGATTTAATGGACTCTTGGAGGAGTACCTGAGGCACTTTATTCAGGCCAATCAGAAGAACTGGCCTCCATTATTGGATGTGGCGCAATTATGTTTGAATTCACAAAAGAGTTCGTCTACCAATAAAAGCCCTTTTGAAGTGGTGACAGGTCAGCAGCCAAGACTTCCTCACACTGTGGATGAGACCTCTCAAGGTAGATGCCCTCGTGCCTCAAATTTTGTGGGGAGTGGAAGCAGAATATGGAGATTGCCAAGGCTTACTTAGAGAAAGCAACGAAGCGTATGAAGAAATGCGCAGATCGTAACAGGCGAGACCTACACTTTCAGGTTGGAGATTTGGTGCTAGTCAAGTTGATGCCAGAACAACTTAGATTTTTGCGCCAGAGGGATCGTCGCTTGGTGCGTAAGTACGAGGGTTCAGTCTCAATAGTAGCAAAGGTGGGGAATGCTTCGTACAAAGTTGACCCTCCTACTTGGATGAGAGTTCACCCTGTCTTCCATGTGAGCAATTTGAAGCCGTTTCACACCGATCCCAATATCGATAATCAGATTATGTCTGCCAGGGAGTCAATCGGCACACAACCACCCTCACAGCGTCATGTTGACGAGATTCTAGCAGGGAGAATTGTTAAGGTGGGTGGAAAGCAAAGACGGGAGTATCTAGTCAAGTGGGGAGGCTTTGATCAGGAAGAGAACACTTGGGAAAGAGAGTATGATCTCAGGGCATTCAAGCAAAAGATTGAAGAGTTTCAGGTCAAGCAGTCGACGAGGACGTTGACAAATTAGGTGGGGGAGATTGTCGTGACCGTCCCTTTTATGGGGCCACAACCAGGTAGGTACGCCAAGGCCAACCATGTATAGGGCCTAGTGGCAGGGTAGAATAAGCTTGTCCTCTTTTCAAGCATTTTAATGTTTTAGGTAGGGAGTGGGGGTATGACTTACTGTCCCCTGTTCGAGCATTTCAACGTCTATAGGTAGCATTTCTGTTATTTTGTTTTTGCATATATGTAGGGAGTGGACAGCCGGCAGAATTTGGGCTGATACACAGGTAAAGGTACGTGTCTTGTGAACACCATCGAGGGCCGCCCCTACGGTCTAATTGGTGGTGTGGGTGAGTCTTCTGTAACCCGATGTTTCTTTTATTAATAAAACATTTTTCTCTCGGAGAAGTCCGGGGGTTGAAGTGTGCATCCGCTATGCCCCACGGGCTCGGATTATTGGTCGAAGGACCATGTGGCTATAAAGATCTAACGCGATGTTTGTTTATGCTTGATCAGATCTACGAGATTAAGGCTGACTTGGTTGGGAAGCATCCCTTTCGAATGCCCCACGGATTAGCAACCGAACCAACTAGGCTAAGTCCGTGACACCTTGGTGGTTCTTCTTAAGGGAGTTTTGGGTCATGTGTTATGTAACCAGTGTTATGTTGTAATCAGTTAGATGTTTAGGTTTGGAGGTGTATTATTGTTCAGATTAATAAAAGTCAGAGGCACTCTTTTCCTCCTTCCTATGTCCATGTTACGATTGTAACATGTAAGATATGAAAGGGACTTTTAATGAGGCCTAATATTCTATCCAAAAAAATGCCCTCATTTCAAATTTCTTCAGAATTTTAAAATTTCCCATGCAAATGCACTAATAGTGCATTTAAAGAACACAGCATTAAAACTTCAAATTAACTAACATTTATTAATGCAGCTCACTAAACTATCAATTAACAAAAAACAGTTAGAGGCCTAATCTTTCGTGTTATTTGTATGAGCTTATAAATTTCTAAACTTAAAAATCAAAAGCTCTGTCTATATCTTCTTTTCCTTTTCACATCGTGTTCACTGGCCGTATCAGGCTTAAATCCACTTTTATAAATTTAAGTTTTGTCCATTTTAAGGATACGGTAACTAAATATAATTGAGATAAGCACACCATTTGATAAAAAAAAGGAGATATGCACACCTTACATAACTCTGAGAAAACATATTGCTCAGATACATCTATAAGTGAAGCAATAGCAGAAACAGCATATTTCGACTGAGTGCGAGTTCCCTCAAGACAGATCTTTTTCAAAACAGAGTCAAAGTCACTGCATGCACATTGACAAGAATTAAAAAAAAAACAGGTTGTATAGAACTTACAAAAAATTTAAAGTATGGTTAGAATGGCAGTAAAACAATAATGCTTTGAAACTTGCAACCTATCAAACTAAATTGACATCAGCTTGCTCCTTTGAGAAATTAAACAATAAAAAATTGCCGATAAATGTCAATTCCCTTTCGTATACTACAAATTGTGTTTAAGATCGTGAACTTCAAAACACATCTTTCTATTAGTTCTAACACGAATATCAAGTGCGAAGTGCTGAAAAGAATATAGAAAATACCTGAATTTAACAGAGATATAAGGCCCTGCTTTCGCTAAAACTAGAATGATCTTATCATGAATCAGATACTTCTCTTTAAACAACAGGGGGAACTGAAGTTCTGAACCCCTAATGAGTGATGGGAAATTGCTGATGATAACCTGTATCATGTAAAATGTGATTGAAAAATGATTGAAGTCTACAAAAATCAATCAAAATCAATGTTCATGGAGGACATGCTTTTACTTATTGAAAAGGCAATTCAAAAGTCAACTTTCTATCATGGAACTACTTCTCTGTCCAGATTTCACTCTCTCTTTGACATTTTTCCTCAAGAAGTACCTAAAGATTAATTTTAGGAAAAAATCAAGTGCTTCTCTTACTGACTCATGCTCTTATTGAATACATAATCTTCAACTATGATCATCAAATGTACAGGAAAGATAGCGGATGGGTAGAGTTATAACAAGAAAGATCAAAAAGTTCTGAAGCAACAGCATTACAAGACAATGATCATGTTTATCTTCAAAGTAGCGGTCCTGTAATTACTAAAACAGTGTTTGGCATCATTTCTCAAACAACCCTGGTAATCCAATCACACACTACAGTGATCTTGCTACTGAAATGATCATATTATCATGATCTAAAATTGAGAATCACTATGTTTGATGTTGCTAAATTCAAATATTTTTCTGTTTGGAATACCTACGTAGCCATACATGTTTTGATAATTATATAATTTAATTGTTTCAATATTGTTCAAATAAAATATTAGCGATCTTTTATTTACTTTATAATAACAATATTTTATTAATTATAAAACTATAATCTACAATATAAATTATGAAAAGAACATTTGAATTCTAAAACTGCATCAATTAAAATTTTAACAAAAGAGAGCACTATATATATCTCATAATAATATTAAAATAAAAATTAAAAGAAACAATATTTCAATTTAGAAATTAATAAAAACAAATATTACCACGTAGATCACTAATTACTCATCAAACACCACCTAAAAGGCTCATACCCCACAGTAAAGAAGTGCCAAAGCAAGTTAAATGGTAAAAAGACAACGCTCGACTCAGTTTCTGTGTTTCGAACACAACCTCATGTGCTATGATCTAGCTTGATTCAAAAAGAAACTCACTTGATTAGTTTTGTATGATAAAAGCAACCCAAGCTCAGAATAAAGCTCAAATTTCAAGAAATCATACTAGAATCAAATAAGAAAGCATGTTTTCTAACTAGGCAAGTCATTTAATTAAATTAGCTGAATGTCAAGCTCAAGCTCAGTTCATTTCTTAACCAAGCAGGCACAGTCAAATTCTTTAGTAGCTGAGCATGAGATCACATACATGCAGATTGGCACGTTTCAATATCTAAATCAATCGTATTTATGCCAAGCATTCATAAAGTATATACCATACACTTTGATATTCACTAATAAATCAAAGCATTCTTGCGTAACAGTGCTCTATTTTATTGAAGAATCACAGTATAGAGGTGTGAAACCAGTTGAGCAACTGTCTGTGCAACAAATAAACTATTTCTGTATATAAATTTAAACAGAAAATTACAATTCACTGTTAGGTGCATTGCGTATTCAGACTAAAAGATAAACTTCTGTTTGAGCATGATGATGCGTGCCAAACTTCTGAGTGTAGATATCCTTTCAAAATGGGAAAAAATAAATCACACCATCGAGATTCAGTTAGAAGCAATTGTTCTTACCAAAAGTAGTTCTATTGAAAAGGCTTCCAAATGATTGCTTTCCAACCCACTACTGGAAACAAGATTGAGAATGCAACGGACATGCTCCGAGTCAAATATATTAAACAAGCACTTTGAGGAGAGCAACTGCAAAAACTCAAAGTGTGGATGTTTATTCCCAATCACCTTAAGGAATTTATCCTGAAAAGGAGAAGTAAAATTTTGGATAACTTATAGAGATTAAAATGATCAACAAATACAAAAGGGGCAACAAGGAAATATTGCATATTAACTGTTTATGCAAGTTTGACAATATGTTTGTCAAGTCTAACCTACCTATTAACCAAAACAAGTAATTACATGTACACATCACCCAACAGCATATGAGTCAAAATATTTTGACAATTAAATTGAACTGATCCATTTAATCTCTGGCTTGTACCCTAATTAGCATTTGTTTCCTTTCAAAATCTAGAGCTGCAAGCAATATCTGGCTGAAGAGTGAGTCAAACAAGTGCCAATTTATGTTTTAAGTATTTTATACTATAAATCAACATGGACTTCTTCAACTGCAGAGAATAGACCCTGACACAGAAAGGAAAAGATACCAAGCAGAATCCAGCTAAGCTTTATCACAATTAGAAAATTGGGTGAAGAAATCTAGCTTCAAATTTGGCACGTGTTTTTGATAGTCACTTAGTCAGACAGGTGCTGTTTACCATCACAAACATTATTTCAGTTCAACCTAGTGTAAAAGAGACCTTTTTTCCCGCTTATAAAACACATACTTCCTTTTTCATGAGTATCTTATACAGTGTGTCAATTCTCTTACTTTGGGTAGGCTGTATGATAAGATCTTCTAAGGATAGGGATACTGAACCTGACAACCTTATTGCACCATGCAAAAGTATTAAAAGAAAGCATTTGGAAAAAGGTTAAACAACGCACTCTTTTCTCCAGGGCACTTTCAAGTGTCGCATCATCCAACAACAGATTGAGTGAAGAGAAAATTTTGTTGTCCTTCATTTGATTCAACTTGTCAAAGCACTCTTCAGCTTTGGATGGATCAGGAAATGAAGCCGACATTTTTACGAAAGAACTTCTCAACTTCTGCATATCCTCTGAACTAATCTCCTGCAATAAATATTTATCTGCTTTGTTAGTCAGACCCAGCAAACAGTACACTTGGAAGAGCAAAAATGTAAAACACAAACCCTATACAACACATATTAATAATATATACCAGTTGTAATGATGTTATGGGAAGGGAAACTTAAAAACGAAACAACATCACCCATAAGAAAACATTCTGCATGTATGCATGCAAATGCCTTGACTGGAATATTTGCACGACATTTCAAGGAAAGAAATGCATGGCAGAAGGCAAAGCCAAAACCGAGAGTGCTGCACATCAAGTAAATATTTGGAAAGGAAATGGTTGCAATATAAATGCAAACGTCAAGTTAGAATATATAGACCTTCGCTATTAGAAAGCAAGAGCTTTAAGAGAGATGATCTATTATGCCCTCAAATAAATATTATGACCTTCCAGAAATCAGTACAAACAATCTACCTTCTCTTTCCTTCGTAAGGCCAAAAAATTCCGCATTTCAGTTTGCACCCTGAAAGCAAAACAAGAAGGTAATAATGCATATGCCACTATCACTCAAGCAGTAATTTAAAATAAATACCTTCTTTTCTGAGATAAAATAGCAGTGAGAGCCTTCACATGAGAAGGGCTGAAAAGAGAAAACAAATGGATCCAGTGTCTTGTCTTCTCTTCAACTGGAAGAAGAGTAGGAAATAACTCCTCCGCAATAACAAGTTCGATGTTTTGGGACCTAAACATCAAATCACATTATATAAGAAGAGATGTAGTTTTTCATATCTCCAATAACGTGCGACTATGAATACCTAAATTCTTTGCAATCTTTATTGTAGCAAAGCATCAAGACTTTGCAAGGAATCTGCTCAAAATGATCACATATTGTAATATGCCCTTCTGCACACTTGTCACAATAATCTCGATATAGTTCCATCACTTTCTGCAAGGCTTTCTTTCTAACGGAAATCTGTATAAGAGTAGAAAATTGAGTGGTAGACAACTATAAAAACATACTAATCACATCAATATCCAAAAACAAGTTACCTTCTTATCCCTAAGTCTCTCTGTAAACTCAGATATGAATTCAGGTGAAGTATATTTAAGGTTAGACCTAACAATATCACAGGCAACAATCACTGCCTGCATTCTCACTTTATCATCAAAATCCAGCAGTCGATCTTTAACAGAAGCTGTTGAAGTTGCAATTCAAAGATAGAAGATAAGTATTAGATTTTGGATGCTATGAACAAAGATACATGCACAACAATCAAAGAAATTTGATATGGAATTGCTTACTGTGAAGTTCAAGAGATTCTATCCCTGAGGGATTGGCCAAGCAACAAGCTTTAGCACATTGTAGAGCAGCAACTCTAACTTCTGAAGATTTATCAGCAAATCTTTTCAAAAACTCTACAAAAAGAACATGATATCTTTGTGCAACACGGTATTCGGGACATAAAATAAGTTTTCCAATTAAATTAACAGCCTTTATTCTTGCATCAACCTGATCAGTCTGTAGATAAACGAAGTTATTTCAATAACAATTAGAAACAATTTTTGAAGTAAAAAAATTAAAACACAAAAGACACTTTGTTGGGAAACAATTAACAAGAGATCGTACTACTACATCCAAACAACTTGAGCAATATTCATAACAGATAGAGCAGGAACATAATGAGGATGTTGTACCATTAATTCTTGGGTCATACTGGGGATGATAGCATTTAGCATCTCAGGAGCACACTGAAAGATTTTTAACACAATTTCATGATACGATTCTTTGAGCTCACTACCTACAGAATCTCTATCCAAGGAGCAAGATGTTAAAAATCCACAAATGTAGGGCTGAAGCTTTTCTGCACAACTTTGGATAATAGAGGCAGCAAGCTGAGAAGCTGCAGAAGTTGTATCCTGTATAACAGAAGTAAGCATAAACAATTTTTTATTTTTACATGCATGCTTGTGTATACCAATGAATGGAATTCATTGACCACAAGGTGCCAAAAATTTCCAATATGATATTAGAATGATAAATAAAAAATGATCCACAATCATGCTACTGAAATAAACACTGATACACAAATTTTCAGCTCTATTTGAATTGTGAAACAAATAATTGCAGTCCAGGAAATATCTTATGCGTATGAAGTATATTGACAAATTAAATCAATATCAGTTCATTTTGCCTTCTCCAAAAATGCACAACCCCTGTGTTGGCTAAAAGTTCAGGGAAACACAAGTTAAAAACAGTCTCAGTTGAAACGGAAAAAAAGGGTCTGCCAACCCACTCACCTTACATTCCTGTATGAGATTTCCCAAAATTACATCCATAAGCTGGGGGGATACTTCCTCGTTTAGAATGTCACTCATTATAGACAGAATATTATTGATTAAACTCTGTTGATGGTGATCTCTGGGAAGAAAGAAAAATGAGATTTTACTATAACGGCATATAGAAAATTGCAAGTCAAAACAACAAGAGTAATGAAGCAATAAACCAAGGCATAGGAAGAAATCTGTGGCAGGTATATATAATGATCACTGAATGAAAAGCCTGACACACTACTGAGGCAATAAATGCTCCATGGTATACAATGATTGCATTAAAAGTAGAAGAATCACAGTTAAAACATTTCACTGGCATTCAACTAGGAGGGATAAAGATGTAAAATGTAAAGTTACAATAAATTCAATGGAAGCTCTCAAATCAGAAATAAGTTACTAAGATCTGCATGGTTACATGAAAACATTAACAAGTTAACTTTTATCAAGCATTTTTATCATGAATTAAATGATGAGTAGGAAAAATTGTAAAATGTTCTCAACTTTAGCAAAAGTTAGTCAGAAGTCAGAGACACATAAAACATGACAGATTAAAAGATACATGGCCCTTGTAGGTTAGTCTTGTATGAAAAAGATTATACAGAAAGGACTAAGTTAATTTAAGGCACAATTGTATGATGTAAAATTCAAAGATACAATAAATTTAATGGAGGCTCTGGAGTTAGAAATAAGTTATTAAAATCTGAATGGTAAGTAGTTTAAAGAAGTTAACAGTTTAACTTGAGCGGCAAGGAGAACTTTTATCAAGCTAGTTAACCAGGAATTAAATGATTGGAAGAAAAATTGCAACTCTTTCTCAACTTTACTTAAAGTTTCAATTCAAAGACGCTTACAGCCAGATAAATTAAGAAAGACATAGCCCTTGTAGGTTAATCTTGATTGAAAAAGATCATACAAAAATAAGGATTAAATTAATTCAAGATACAATATCATAGAATTTGTTTAATTAAATAGAAAAGATCATAAAATTGCGAAGTATATACAGAACATAAAGAGAAAGGAATCTGACCTCACAACTGAGAAAAAAATATTAAACATTTCAAGGATCAAATCATTGCAATCAATATCCAGCATTATCACACAACATTTGCATCGAGCAACAGTCTCCAATATTTTAACCCTCCTCGAGAAGAATGCATTTGTAGAATCAGCAAGCTCCATGAACACGCTGAGAATGAGTTTAAAAACGTCCTGAAACAAGAGTTGAGAAACTTGAATGATAAAAAAGGAGCCCAATGACAAAGGTGTAAAAATAACCGTGTAATCTCAGAACCAAATGGGAAAAAAATGTTACCCTGAGATATTTATCTGCAAAAGGTGGTTGAGGTGCCAGGATCCGAAAAAATTCACCAACACAACTGGCCACCAAAAGTCTAACATCTTTATCGGTATGGTTAAATAGACCGTGCTTAACAATAGAATTCCTCAAAGGCTCCGTGGCTGCTTTTAATTTTCCCAACACTAGCGCCTTTGCGGAAGCTTCATTCACTGAAGGCTGCTCTATTTGTGACAATGCACTCACAGCTTGCTGCAAAAAGTATTTTAACCACATGGAGGACATTACATAAGGTTCTTCTTAACAAAATAAAATTCTATCAGAGAAGCCCTCAGTCTCAGGTAGCTACTTAATTAAGAAATTTTGGGAAATAAAAATGCATTTGGTAAATTTAACCTGATAAAGCAAGATAAAAGAAGTTGAACCATAGTGCCAAATACACAAAATATATTCGATAGACTATCGAGATACATTTCAGCATTTGCATAAATATAAACTAATTGTTCTACATTTTTATAAGTAAGCCGACATTTTACTCAAATTCAAATTTCTAATTAAATCCACGTTCGTAGCTGACAATTTAGTTAACAGCGTAAAACGGTAACAAGTGATTTTATAAGAATATAAGCACCTAATTATTCGATGTACTACACTCCATAATCCGTGGTATTCAACAGTCATAGCGATTTGTTGGAGAAAATTCACTTTTCTATTTCCAAAGAGAGAGAAGAAGAAGAAGAAGAAGAAGAAGCAATTTATGCTTACACGAAGAGATTTGATGAGGACATCTTTGTTAGGGCGAGAGAGTTGGGTGAGTTTGGTGCCGATTCCGGAGATGAGTTTCAATGTTGACTCGTCCATTTAGCGAGGAATACTACACTGAGAGTTTCGATTGGGTAAAAATAAAGAGAGGTTAGCAATGCAACGGAGGATTTCTTTTTCTTTAATTTTGAAAAATAAAAAATCTTTCGGAGGGAGAAACTGAAGAAACGAGAAAAGGATGTCCTGGTTTAAGCGGGAGGAATCCCGCCTTTTGTAGCGCGTGAAAATGACGCGCTTAGAGGAGGGCAGGATGACTGATGATGAGATCCAACGGCATTGAATGTGCGAGTATACAGACCCAGCCCAAGATCCAACGGTTCATGCATGTGTTTGGATAAGATCGTAAATAAATCTGTCCTCAAATAATTTACATGTTAAATAGGTGGTCAAGTAAATATGACTTGTCGATGCCAAGTCCTTTTTCAATGAATATTGACATTCTTTATATAAGAGAATTTGACTAACTTTGTACCAATGTAAAGGTTCTAGTGGATCGAGGGACCTTTCCTTTAAATTTTAAATTTTTATATAATTTAAATCTTTTTTATATTTTATTAATAATTTATTTTTATCCTTTCTTAAAATTTTATAAGTTTATTTTCTAACTTAAAATCTTATTCCATCTTAGCTTAAGATAGTGAACAAACACAACTTCCTACGAAACTCAACAAAAGAATTGTGCAGCTTGGGATCAAACCATTTGTATATATTTGGGAAGCTCTTCTTGTTGATGTTATGTTCACGGGAAGTGATTTTAGGTAAATTAGTTGCAAAAATTATTTTGGAGGTAGAATCAGAAATTACTGTCACTTTCTACTTATTGTCTAACATATATGCTTCGGGAGGAAAATGGAGAGATGCTACAAAGGTAAGGTTGAAAATGAAGGGTAAGAGATTAAAGAAGCAGCCTGGTTGCAGTTGGATAGAACTAGAGAATAAGGTATATGTGTTTTGTGGCTGGTGCCAAATCTCATTCTCATACCGAACTTATTTACCTTGTACTACATGAACTTCATGCAAAAATTAGGAAGGCTGGAAATATATCCAATACTAATTAATTGTAGGAGGAATATTTGGCTAATTTTGTAGACGCAACTGCTCTAATCCAAGTCCTCTAGATAAAACAACATTATAAATATAAGATACTCAGTTATATTAATGAGGATAAAATATCATATTCTTGTTATATATGAGCCAGTTATATTAATGATAATAGCCAAATCTTGATTGAAGATGAAATTATACATTCAAATTAATTAAAGTCTACATCAGAAGCTAGTAATTAATTACGCAAATCTTTGCACAAGCTAAAACGGGTTGCAAGTTCTGAAAACATACAATTTGGTCCCTAAATTTATTAAATAAATTTATATTTTATATTTTATTTTATTTTTATTATTTGTATCTTAAATTAGGGTTGTGACAAAAATAAAGGGATACTACAAAGGTAAGGTTGAAAATAAATGATAAGGGATTAAAGAATAAGCCTAGTTGCAGTTGGATTTTTTTTGAAAATAATGTGGCCCTCATTAAAAACCCATTCTAATCTTAATAAGGGGAAAAGAGTGCCCAAAATTTCATTAATCAATAAGTAATTACATCTTTTTGAATGTCTCTAGCAATGATAACGGGACAAAATGAATCAAAGAACAACGCACTATAAGAAACAACTGGCCCAGCTAGCGAGAGCATGAGCTACATGATTACAATCACGATTGATATAACTAATGTGGAATCTAGGATTAGTTTGAAAAACAACATGTGCTTCCTGAATGAAAATTCCCAACGTCGAGATGTCATCCGAGTCCTGTGTAATTTTGTTCACAAGTATCTGGTTGCAACTGGATAGAACTAGAGAATAAGGTCCATGTGTTTTGTGCTGGTGCCAAATCTCATTCTCATGCCAAACTTAATTACCCTGTACTGCATGAACTTCATGCAAAAATGAGGAAGACTGGAAATATATCCAAAACTAATTACTTGTAGGAGAAAATTTTGGCTAATTTTGTAGACGCAACTGCTCTAATCTAAGTCCTCTAGGTAAAACAACATTTATAAATATAAGATACTCAGTTATATTAATGAGGATAAAATATCATATTCTTGTTATAGATGAGCCAATTATTAATGATAATAGCCAAATCTTGATTGAAGACAAAATTATACATTCAAATTAATTAAAGTCTACATCAGAAGCTAGTAATTAATTACACAAATCTTTGCACATGTTAAAACGGGCTGCAAGTTCCGAAAACTTACAATTTGGTCCCTAAATTTATTAAATAAATTTATAATTTATATTATTTTATTATTTTTATCTTAAATTAAGGTTGTGACAAAAATGGAGGGATGCTACAAAGGTAAGGTTGAATATAAAGGATAAGGGATTAAAGAATCAGCCTAGTTGCAGTTGGATTTTTTTTTTAAATAATGCGGGCCTCATTAAAAACCCTTTCTAATCTTAATAAGGGGAACTGAGAGCCCAAAATTTCATTAATCAAGAAGTAACTACATCTTTCTGAATGTCTCTAGCAATGATATCGGGACAAACCGAATCAAAGAACAATGCACTATCAAAAACAACTGGCCCAGCTAGCTAGAGCATGAGCCACATGATTACAATCACGATTAATATAACTAATGTGGAATTTAGGATTAGTTTGAAAAACAACATGTGCTTCCTGAATGAAAATTCCCAATGTCGAGATGTCATCCGAGTCCCATGTAATTTTGTTCACAAGTATCTGGTTGCAACTGGATAGAAGTAGAGAATAAGGTCCATGTGTTCTGTGTTGGTGCCAAAACTCATTCTCATGCCGAACTTATTTACCATGTACTGCATGAACTTCATGCAAAAAATGAGGAAGGCTGGAAATATATCCAATACTAATTACTTGTAGAAGGAAATTTTGGATAATTTTGTAGACGCAGTTGCTCTAATCCAAGTCCTATAGGTAAAACAACATTTATAAATATAAGATACTCAGTTATATTAATGAGGATAAAATATCATATTCTTGTTATAGATAAAGCCAGTTATATAATGATAATAGCCAATCTTGATTAAGATGAAAGTATACATTCAAATTAATTAAAGTCTACATCAGAAGCTAGTAATTAATTACACACATCTTCGCGCATGCTAAAATGGGCTGCAAGTTCTGAAAACTTACAATTTGGTCCCTAAATTTATTAAATAAATTTATAATTTATTTTATTTTTATTATTTTTATCTTAAATTAGGGTTGTGACAAAAATGGAGGGATGCTATAAAGATAAGGTTGAAAATAAAGGATAAGGGATTAAAGAAGCAGCCTAGTTATAGTTGGATTTTTTTTTTGGAAAGAATGTGGGCCTCATTAAAAAAATAAAAACCCCTTCTAATCTTAATAAGGGGAAAAGTGCCAAAAATTTCATTAATCAAGAAGTGATTACATCTTTGTGAATGTCTCTAGCACTGATATCAGGACAAACCGAATCAAATAACAATGCACTATCAGAAACAACTGACCCAACTAGCGAGAGCATGAGCCACATGATTACAATCACGACTGATATAACTAATATGGAATCTAGGATTAGTTTGAAAAAACAATACGTGCTTCCTGAATGAAAATTCCCAATGTCGAGATGTCATCTGAATCCCGTGTAATTTTGTTCACAAGTATCTGGTTGCAACTGTATATAACTAGAGAATAAGTTACATATGTTTTGTGCTGGTGCCAAATCTCATTCTCATGCCGAACTTATTTACCCTGTACTGCATGAACTTCATGCAAAAATGAGGAAGGCTTGAAATATATCCAATACTTATTACTTGTAGGAGGAAAATTTGGCTAATTTTATAGACGCAACTGCTCTAATCCAAGTCCTCTAGGTAAAACAACATTTATAAATATAAGATACTTAGTTATATTAATGAGGATAAAATATTATATTCTTGTTATACATAGAGCCAGTTATATTAATGATAATAGCCAAATCTTGATTAAAGTCGAAATTATACATTCAAATTAATTAAAGTCTACATAAGAAGCTAGTAATTAATTACACAAATCTTTGCACATGCTAAAACGGGATGCAAGTTCTGAAAACTTACAATTTGGTCCCTAAATTTATTAAATAAATTTATAATTTATTTTATTTTTATTATTTTTATCTTAAATTAGGGTTGTGACAAAAATGGAGGGATGCTACAAAGATAAGGTTAAAAATAAAGGATAAGGGATTAAAGAAGCAACCTAGTTGCAGTTGGATTTTTTTTAAATAATACGGGCCTCATTAAAAACCCCTTATAATCTTAATAAGGGGAAAATAGTGCCCAAAATTTCATTAATCAAGAAATAATTACATCTTTGTGAATGTCTCTAACAATGATATCGGGACAAACCGAATCAAAGAACAATGCACTATCAGAACAACTGACCCAACTAGCGTGAGCATGAGCCACATGATTACAATCACGATTGATATAACTAATGTGGAATCTTGGATTAGTTTGAAAAACAACACGTGCTTCCTGAATGAAAATTCCCAATGTCGAAATGTCATCCGAGTCCCGTGTAATTTTGCTCACAAGTATCTGGATAGAACTAGAGAATAACTTCCATGTGTTTTGTGTTAGTGCCAAATATCATTCTCATGCCAAACTTATTTACCCTGTACTGCATGAACTTCATGTAAAAATGAGGAAGACTGGAAATATATCCAATATTAATTACTGATAGGAGGAAAACTTGGCTAATTTTGTAGACGCAACTGCTTTAATCCAAGTCCTCTGGGTAAAATAACATTTACAAATATAAGGTACTCATTATATTAATGAGGATAAAATATCATATTCTTTGTTGAATTATGTTTCGATATAACAAATTTAAGGAAAAATGTTTTTGGACTTGAATTGAATTTATTCAAAGTTTTAAAAAGGTTTCAAAAATAATTCAAAGTCCATTAAAATCGAATTTGAGCAAAAATGCTAAAGGGTGTCAAAGTGTATCCATGCACCTGCAGTGCATCGATGCACCATGTAGTGCATCCTTGCACTCAAACACCGAATGCAATTAGTGCATCGATGCACCTTGCTGTGAATCCATGCACCCAAGCTGC